CGCTAATCTGGCCCCTATTGAAAAGAGGTCAGCAGTGCACTGAGCGAGGTTCGTGAACAAAAGAAAGTTATAAAGGCTGCAGGCCTGGCTGAAATACTCGGGTGTCAATAGATTTTGTCTGTCTGGCTAGAGTGGACACCAGACATGCCTTCACGTGTTTGCAAGTGTCCAGTAAATGAAGATAGGAATTTTTAAAGAATTTTGAAAACAGAAAAAAAATGATAATTATCCCGGACCAGCATCATCAACATTGACAACTGCCCCCAGCAGCAAGTGGTTAACACTGTCAAGTAATAACTGCTTAGGTTTAGAAAGTGAAGGCAGTCAAGCCCATTTTCATGTTGTGTATTTCACTGAATCCTTCAACCTCAGAATTTAATATTGCAAGCAGTTCACAACAGGTTTCAGCTTTCTTTACTGTGAAGTGCAAGTGACTCTCTCTATGAAATTTGCACACTCGCACCGAAATTTATGTGGAGACATTGCTTTGTTCTTGTGTACTAAAACACTCGGGTGTAAAAATGCTGTTTTGAAAATGCTCCCAAAGTCACCTTCCCAAGTTGAAATTGCAACCGAATATCCATAATATACAATACTTCAAATTTGCAACAAATAATTACTTAAAAATGCCTCTCTTTAAAGTAATTTCCAAATATCTATTCCGAGAAATTCTGATGGAGACCGTTTCATCTCAAGAATCTTGTGGAGACCGTTTCAATGTATTCTCCTGGGTTTTCACTGATGGCAAGCTGAGAGAGAAACTAAACCTTGTTTAATCACATACGGCTAGGACTTTATGCATATGTTCTGAACCATGGGATCAGCTTCTGTGTTGAACCACTTTCTTTGAAAGTACGAACATTTTAAATTGCAAGTATAGTCCTCAAAGTTGGACTTTCTCAAATGCTGACCCTTGGTGGTCATTCATTCAAGATTCGTGAGACATTTCTTATTGCATTGTCACTTTCCGAAACTCAAGAGTGATATCCACTCCGAGCGGAACAAGAGAGGGCGTTTTTTTGGTACTCGCTGCATAAGCGCACCTCAAGTATGAGCATTTGATATGGAGCACGCGTAACTAATTAATCCGGCATGTATGGTCTTTGCGTACACGCAGAACGCGTGCAAGGACCCGCTTGTAACCATGTCTTTGTTTTTTGCCGATTGGGGGTGCACTTCAGCTCGGAGCGGATTTGCTTCAACGCTCAACCTGGTCCAAGACTGCCCCAGGGCTTCATAGTTCATACACACCCAATCCCATAAACTAGCCTGTGTATGTATATGTACACAAACTCAATGAGAATCACTGAAGTATAGGGACGAGTATAGACATCACCCGAGACCACATACAGAATTTGCCAGGATGTGTTGAAATATCCTCACGGGGAAGCCCTGTGTGTTCACACGTCATGAAGGGTGGCAGTGTACACACTGTTGAAGTACCTACATGCCGACATTGCAGAAGAGATTGAATATTTCTAGCCGAGATTTTAGTCCAATCCTGTCTCCACTCCCAGTTTTGCCCACCATCTTAGAGAGTTATTCAAATGGTGATGGACCTGTTCAAGTTGACAACAGCAGGTTCTTTTTTTGTCAAATTCTGAAGCTTTTGCAGTTTGTAACAGGCAAAAAAATGAGTTTACTGTCGTAGCTTTTTGTCAGTGCTTGTTTGCAGCGTTTTGGGTCTGTATACATCACAGTTCTCAAGGAGATGTCAATCCTCTTAGGAGAACATGCTCACAGTGCCTTATCCCAGTAAAGATATTTTTAATAGTATGTGCACAAATTACACCAATTGGCATCGTGGAAGCCCGTGTCTTCTATTTGAACTCCATTTGGTTGGTGAAACGAAAAAAAACCAGCTTGTCATGGGTACGCTTCTAGGATTGCCCTTTGCTCTACAGAGGAACAAGGTGGGATATTAGTCGGCATAACTTTATTATAGAGTTCCTGTGGTCATGGAAAATCCTGAAAAAAAAATCGTGGGAAAAGTCATGGAAAATTAGGAACAGTGAGTGTCCTGGAACCCTGTTGTGAGATTTAAAAAAAAATGGAAAGGTAATATGATTGATGGGTTGCTTTTGATTTGAGACTGAATGACAGATTTATAGTCTTTGTCCTTGTCAGTCTGTCGTCGTGGTTACAACAGTCTTCCAGGTCATCATACCAAACCTGTTTTTTTCTGCAAAATTGCATTCGATTCCATGGAAATTGTCATTTTTAGTCCTGGGCCGTTTTTCGATACTCGACTTCGGCTCCGTTTTAGGCTTCAACTGTTTTTTTTTTACTAACTGACTTTGTCGACTTTTGTAAGCACAGTAAGTTTGATAGTGCCCCAAAACATCAAGTAAGATGCACAAGAGCTAAATATTACAGTACTTCAATTTTAATTAAACGCTTTAGGCCCACAGTCGGGAAGAAGGTAGTTTCACAATAGTGCGCCTCCAAGAGTTTGCAACGCGTTGGCCAATCACAGTGTGCAAAATCTGTCGACCAAATGCGTGTTTGGAAACGGTCATCAAATTTTGCGAGTTGTGATTGGCCAACGCGTTGCAAACATTTGGAGGCGCACTAATGTGAATCGCCCGCATTGGTTTCGTATACGAAGCCCGAGACAGAGATGAAGTTGAGTATTGGAAAACGGCCCTGAAAAGTCTTGGAAGTCACAGAATTTCAGACTTCTGTCTGTGGGAACCCTGTGATTGTAACAAGGTAACTTGCAGCTCCTGAGGATTGTGGGACACTAGGTGCAGAGTTTTATTGGGAATACATAGGAGTACATAGCTATCCACTCCATCCAGGAACAGAGATAGCAACAGTGTCCGTTTGGAGGGAAATCACCGTATGAGCGCACTTCTTGTTTCATATGATATTTATTGTTTAGTCTCTTTCCAGGTGATGCAGATCAGTGGTTCAGGAATCTGGATCAGTAACTTAGTTCATGGGTGCAGACCATTCTAACCATGTGAACTTTATTGTTGGGAAGGGTCATTCCTGAAAGTCTTGATAAGTTTCCTCCACTCAAGTCATGACACTTAGTGGGATGTTTGAATTAACTCTTTATGTATATATAAGGAATATAATAATATATGACTATGTACCATAACATTGATGAATCTGTTCCATAGAAGAATCCCAAATAAAAAAATTCAGCCCTCCAATTCAATGGAATTGACTACTTGTCATGCTTGTTAGTGTCTCTGGTGCTGTGTTTAAAAACAGATCACGCAATATACAGTCGTTGGCCTTGTAAAGCGGTTCGGCCCAGTTTCACAAACGGTACATGCAAGAGAATCATCTGCTTACTGCCACCTGTGCACAAGCCAGAAATGTCTACTTCAGCAGATGATGCTGCACAGCATGTGTGACACTAATAGTGTACAGAGGCCTGATGGAAGTGCTTGATAAAACTGGATTAAGTTATTTCATTTATGAGAAACAGTGCAAAGCAACTTGAAAAGGACTTTTTTTAATTACAGTACTCTTTGATGAATGCAATGAATTTGGAAAAGAAAACGCAAATTAAAATGAAGCATGAACTCGGCATGCAAGTTTCCACTAGACTGGTTCCCATCCCGTACGTAGTCTCTGTACGTAGTCTCCAGACATCTTACAGATGCCCTCCGATAATAGGGACCGGAACCAGTCTAAGTTTCCACTTCATAATAACCGTATCTTCTTTTGCTGAAATCCGAAGTCAGTGTACTGACACGTGATATACAAACAGTACCACTTGTTCTGTAAAAATTTGATCAAATTAGTCCGATTTCAGAGTGATATCCATGAATTACGAGAAAAAGATTTTAGCAATGATTAGTAACATCACATTGCAATAAAAGAGAAAGGCAATATCTTAAGGCAGAGGAAATTGCGTGAACAAGTCACCTAACTACATAAGCTGAGGCACTACATTAAGTTTCCTAGGCACTGTTACCAGACCAACAATGCTTCGTCCAACTTTCTAAGAATAACTCAAACAATTGCATGCACTAACATGGCTTTCAGTTGGAAGGTGGAATTTCATTTCCAGCTACACTACAATTCTTCGTGACTTAAACAAAAATTAAAACATTAATATTCAAACTGTCACTAGATACTACACAATCACCTGTCTCTAAAAGTATTCAATTACAAAGTATTTCCATTTGAAAGTTGATGCTCTCCAATTTCAGTACAAAATCGAGGCGTGTAAAAGTTTTTTAAACAAATTAATTTGCTCTTACTTCTCCCTCTCTGAGGCAAGTTATTCTTGTTATAAATCCACACTCTAAAATTTGTTAATTTCTTCACTAAAAATAGAAATATATTCTATATATATATATTAATGACATATTAATTCCTATTCTGTAAATTATTTCAGTTGTTAATCTCTTTCAGATTTCAAATTTCCAAAAATAAAGACCTTTGTATTCCCATCAAAAAGAGATCCACCAAAAAGAGCTTTAGTTGAAAGTCTTTTCCTCAGGTAATTCTGCAAATTGTCATTGAAAGAAATGCAGTTGACTCTACCCAGCACTCCTATAAATTGCAAAGTATTCTATCGCATCCAAGTCACCGGTGAAAATTATGTCTTGTACACACAGCTCTAGGATACCGAGAAGAAAAGTCAATGTCAAAACATGGTAGACACCCCTTCAATAATCCCAAAGGGGAAGTTAAGTGCTTAGGTCATGGTTCAGTGACACCAACATTATTATGATTCGACCCAAGTGGAAACTCATCTCTGGTTAAAGTGTAGCTGCAGTGAATTTTTCTGAGACAATTTTACTGCAACTTTGTACTTCTTTCTCAATGTACATGTATAAAAACTCTTTTACATTCGTATTTTGTTAAATGTTTTGAAAAAGTGCACTTTTTACAATTATCCAAGCTTTCTTGGACAACTGAGGGCACTGTTGCTATTAAGTCATCTGGGGAAGACATAATTCAGTGAATACGTATTAGCAGAAAAAACAAAAAAGCAATAAAATATCTTTATAATAATAGAACAAAAGTTGAGCATGAGGTTAACTGAAATATAAAGGTGAGTTTTGAACGTTTTTATTAAAACAAAGTAGGGCACCCCATGGCCGTGTTTGTTTCACATGGATCAGGATCACGATCAGTGATCTGTCATTGGTTTAGAGACACCAAATGGATGGCCTAATGGATGGTGCAAACCAGCGTTAGGATCACTGATCGAGATCCGTGTGAAACAAACAGGCCTCCAGTGAACACCTGCACAAGGTGAGATACCAGACATAAGAGTCCGGTTTTATTGCACCTGACAAAATGCATTTATGATAGCAAATCTTCGAGTTGGTATGTTGGTCTGGGTTATTTCTAGAATCTCTTTTGGGGTATTGCCAATGCTAGGAGTTCCATTTCTAAAAGGTAAAAGCCAATAAAAGTTTTCATCAAAAGTTCAATTCATATACTTCTCCCTTGACTTTTCTTCATCAAATATTTCTCCATTGTGTGCCCGATGAACCAATCATTCCACTGCCTAACTTTAAGACAAATCTCATCAGCATAGTTTTCATGCTGGATGGTAAAAAACAGCAGTGCTCTATCTAGCACTACCTGGAATGTCAAAATGAAACAAGCATAGTGGAATCCCTGGAACATATTCGCAGTATGCACCCGCTGGAAGGTTAGTAGTCATCGCAGTCTTCCATTTCGTCATCATCCTCACTGTTATCATCAACATCATCGTCGCTGTTTGCTTCCTGACGACACTGCACAAGGTAACATAGGCGCGCCTGGCTTTCCTTGTACACCACGTACTCAGTGTAGTCTCTGTACCTACGGTAATCACTCGCATCTTCCAACCTGGCCAGGGGAATGGTGGCACCTAATGGGGGAGAAATAGCCCGGCATGAACCACTATGAGCAAGTTCGATCATGGACCACTAGTTCACTAATGGTTGGTTCATGACGTACCAAGCGCATGTGCAGTGAAGTCGAAGTGTGAATGACCTATGCCAACCGTTGTCAGGTCATTAGGCCGAAGGGGAGAAAAGGTGGCCGCAGGAAGGGCAAAATAGCAATGACAAAAGTGAAAATGGTTGATTACTAGTGACAGACTGTGTCCGGTATTTTTCTTATAACTGGTCCTCTCTGCACTGTGCTATTACCAACAGTTTATGGCAACCAACGACGTGACCAACCTGGGTAGGCTGGTCGTGAATACTTGACTAGTCTAGTCCAACCATCATTGATTAACGCGAGTTCGAGAGAGATAGTCAAACTGAGGGTCCTTGACTGAACTTGCCTACTAGTGTATAACGTCTACGGTCAGGAAAGGGTCGGGCTGACAACCGACTAACCCCACACCCAAATGGGTGACTACAGAATCAACTTTTTGGAAGGGGGCAGCATTGCTTTTGGGGGGTGACAAAAACTGGTAACATTTTATTTGAAAAATGTAACTTTTTCTAGATATTCCAGCAGGGGGGGTTAAGGCTAAATTTCGGAAATTTTCACATACTTTTGACAATGAGCGAAGCGAAATGGTAATATCACCATTTTCTACATCGTTTTCCAAAGTTGCTTCTTTGAGGGGGAGCATGGCCCCGATTGGATCTGCCAATACATGCCCATGTGACATAATGAACTATAAATTTATACCATGGATGCCGAAATAATAAAAAATGCCCACTCTGCGGTATACGCAAGCACCAGGGTGCACACACAGTGCACTGGCCACCGAGTGGAATTTTTGGTCATCAACAAAGCACCCTCTTTAGTGCACGCAGTGGGCTTATAAGAACAGGGAGGGTTTTTGAAAGAGGGTTTGACTTTGCATTCCACCTGTGCAATTTCTGGTGTGCGGGCAAAGAACTCACAGGCCAGTCAAGAACCTTTTCTCACCCTACCCTACTGATGCTCAGGGGAGTCTTTTTGACAGTTGGCAATTGTCCAAAGTTCCCCTTTCCCAACTGACTTTTTTACTGCCTCCATATCTGCATGAGTTTTATCCTAGAAGGGGGTAGGGCAGAATCCCCCCCCCCATCCATTCCCTCAAAAAACTGTTGCAACATATTCTTATATGGCCGCAACTTCAGGAATTTTCCCACTCACGTCCCACGGTCATTTTTTCATGCCAATGTTATAAAAATTGGAAATTCATTTTCATGAAATGTCAATTTCTCCGAGACAGGTAGGCCAAAAGCTGAACTTTTTCTGTTGACTGTGCTGAATGCAGAGGCTAACGAGCGCGAAAGCACGGACTACAGATGACCATAACAGCAAAACCCGTCATCAGATTGAATTAGAACTTTATAAATGTACTGTAATAATACACCCAATTAAAAAATCATGATCACGTGACAACTGCAAAGGGCCAAAATCCTCTGGCCGAGAATGTCAATAACGCTGATGAGTTTCTGTAAATCCTTCCTAGACATTGAAAAATAAAACCTGGCAAGATTTGATCCCCCCCCCCACTGTGGGCAGAAACAGAGGATCGGTAAAACAGAAAAGCAGGAAAGAGGAAACGTGGACTTAGATTATTCACTTTCATCCCACTACGCCTTTCGCCATACAGCAGATGCAACATGACTGGAGCAGGGGCACTGTCGAGGCACCCCGAGAGGGACGACGAGATCATTAGAGTCTACCTGAGGTCAAGAAGAGATCCCTTGAGGGCAGTAGGATCTTGTTTCCAGATTTGGCTTGCAGACTGTCATAGCCATCCTTCACAACCAGATCGCTGTCATAATCCACAGCCACTTTCCCCAGGGCAATCTGGCAGATCCAAATGATGAGACTGATGTGAAAATGAAATCATGTCCACTACAGAACATATTCAAGACTCAAACTTTAATACTCGGGGGCTGCTATCTGATGAAGTCATTTCCTACCTCAGTGCACGCTAAACCATGTATCTGTGTACAATACACTACAACTGGGCAAAATGGTTTGGTATAATTGGGAGCTTTGCACTTCTGTTCATTTGCCAAAGTAAAATAGTCTGGTGACTGCTTGGCAACGATAGATTGCTAGAATATCTAGTTACCCACATAAAAAATCAAAGTATTTGGCCCCCCCAAATCAAGTTTGCCCCCTCCCCCGCCAAGAAATTTGATTCTGAATCCGCCCTTGACTAAGAGGTCCTCCAACCACTTTAGACGAGACTCGCGACGCAAAATATAACTTTACCTCACACAAGAACACAAAGTTGGAGTTCCCTCTGCCGAAGGAGTCCACGCTATAAGAGACGCTCTTGGCAAAGGCGTCAGAGGTGTAGAGTCCCTGTAAGTAGTTTGGATCAGCAATGGTCAGCGTCTGGGTGAAACCAGCTACAAACCCATTCAGTTATTAATAGACTGGTATTGGAACTTATGAGGCAAACTTTGCCACAACATTTACATTTCATCAGAAATAACCCCCCCCCCCAGGATCACTGGGGGAAGGTTTGGCCCTCTTGATTCCTTGCATCCTAACCCCCCCCCCCATTTCTAATCACCCCTGTCCATCTGTGCCCCCTGACTAGTGGGGTGCAATATTGAGTAGTGCAAGAAACCTTTACCCTAGCTAAAGTAAGTACGGGCACTGTATCGACTTTAAACTCAAAGATAAAAAAAAAGCATGTGAGAAAACTTATTTCCAATTTTTTCATTCTGTCTTGCCCAAAACAATTGGCAATATTTGCAAATAAACGAAAGATCTCTTTCAGCATTCTGTGGTTTATATTTCAAGTTTCCCTTCTAGAAGCTTTTTTCTCTTTTCTATGGAGTTCCTGAACAATGGTTAAAGTTGGTTACGGGAACTCGGTCCTTTAATTTGGAAGCAGTTTCAGGCATCGGCAAGAGGGTTCAAATGAACGTCCACTCGTCCAGACAACTACCACCCGAGTCTGATGAGGGAATGAGCTGGCCTCTCTTTAGGGTGCCGACAATGCCGAGCACTTATGTTATGTCTCAACAACCCCACCCCTCACGACCCTTAACCCCCCCTCATAAACCTCCCAACACACCCTGACCATCTTCCACTCACCCTGCCATATCGGTATCCAGTGACGGCTGCCTCCGGTGGGGTGATGAGCAAGCCTCTCTTCAGGATGCTGATGACGTTGGAACACTTGCTGCCATGCCACAGTAGCCGATGGTTACCCAGCTCAGTGGACCTCAGTTTCTCATCCTTTCCCTCTCTGGCTAGACGAAAGATGGCCTGCACACCGTACTTGCCATTATCGGCTGGAGGAAGAAAAACCAGAAACAAAGGTCAAATCATACCACTGTTAAATCTAGTGTGTAAATCTAGTGTACAGGCCTCTGCCACTCAGGAATTGCAGATGGACGGATATGATCTAATGGCAGACTTGACAAAATCTCTGAAAGCTTGTAATGGAAAGGGCACTCTTTCAAATTGCTAAAACTACTGTTCAAATACTGACAAATTTTGTACTTTCTCTGTAGAAAAATGTACGATGCTTAACCACAATTTTAACGTGTATACATCACAGGTCTGTGCACATTCAACTGAAAACTCGTCCAACTGATTATGCTCAATTAGTTTGTAGACCTTAACTGGTCTGTGTACTCCTTGTGAAAATTTGCATTTTCTCATCAGTGATGCTTAGCATAAAAGACATAAATGTGCAAAGCAGCTCTCAATCTACGGAGGTAACTGCTGCAATATATTGGAATTAAGTGAGGCTTAAGAATTTTCCCAGAGTAACTTTAATCTCCCAATTCAACACCTATTTCTATTATTTTCAAGAGCAGCTTGCTGATGAGTTCAGAGGCATATATCAAGTTTTACGGGGCATGATGATTAAACGTTTAACTTCCAAAACAGTGCCATTATTGGTTTTTAATTGGCATCCAATGACAGCGTTCATCAACTTTACTCACTGGTGTTGTCAATGTACTGCAGTATGAGCTGGGCTTCCTCTTCGTCTTCATTCATGATCTCAATCTGGCAGCCAAGGCAACTGTAGATGTAATCCAAGGGGTTGATTTCTACAAGGTTGAAAACGGTGAAGCAAGGCATCATGGTCAAACTTCACTGCACAATTATTAAGTGGCAGGAATGAAGTTGTTGAAAAGAGCTGTGAAAATCTCAGGAGTCTTTTTGCCTTAAAATGTCTTAATTTATTGGTGTACTTGTAATTTGTGACAGAGTTTTTAAGTCCAAGCTGAAGTGGATTGTTTGATTTTGAAATTTTTTTACATGTGCGCCAAATCAATTTTATGCCCTTGAAAATTCTAGGCTAATTGAAATGAAGTCTCTGGTCCTAATCTGTTCCTTTGAAATGAAACTGAAGAATCCACTCAGAGATTTGCGATCCCATTTGTGAGAAGTTGTTGATGGGTCATTCTATAAATTTGAGGTCCAATGTGACTTTTTTGTCCCTGTTACACCTGACCTGTGTAATTTGACAAAGGATCACTGAGGCTGACTTCAAATGATTTTTATTCGTTTGGCAGATAGTTTGCGATACTTAATCACTCTCGGAAATTAAAGATTGTGTTCCAAACTTACCAAATCGTATCTGTAAAAGGGAAAGGAAAATTTGGACTCCAAATTTACGGAATGATCCTGATGTTCATTTGTTTTCTTAAGACCATATGCTGTTTTGTTGTCAGCTGCCACAGAAGCATGAGATGAAATCCTCCCCTACAGGAATGTGGGTGAGGTCTGCTATTGAATACCTATCCCAAACAGTCGCTAAATATGCAAATTCCTTTGCATTTGACTCCATTCGCTAAACTTCTGATCAACCGTAGTGCGCCCTGTAGTCCCATGATGCATAGCGGAATGGCTGCCAGATTCGTCCTTCTTTTCCGGTATTAAAATCGTCCGAGCCAAAGGTGGGGAAGGATGGGAGGGAGCCGACTAATTGGGGTAGGTATTCAATAGCAGACCTCACCCAAATTCCTGTGGGGGGGGGAGTCTTCTGCTTTCAACCTACCCCAAACAGTCGTTAAATATGCAGAGTAGCACCGAGCCCTTGGAGGGGTGTGTGGCAAGGACGCACTACATAATGAGAGTGCCAGAAGAGTATGAAATTGTCAAAACTTTATTGCAGACTCACAAAATAATGGAGTTGTTATGTCGTTCCAGTGGTGGGCCGCTTTGATGAGGAACCCTTCGGCATCGATATGGCCAATGTTAGGACAGCTCTGCCATGTGCAGAGTCCTTTTGTAGAACATCAGTGAGGTAGCATGTGGTGAAAGT